AGAATGTAATTTTTTTAAAATCAATAATTTTTTTCAAAATTGTTACAATCACTCTTATTTTTTATTATTCAATGCATGCTACCTCAGGTATAAAATAAAAATGTAGTTAAAGTAAAATATAGTAACAACTTACGCATGCAACTAAATTAACACATATTGAGTTCAGACATAGCAATAGAAAATCTAAAGTTTTCTCCACTTTTATTTTTATAATATTGTCTTCACTTTTCTTTTATACTATTTTCTCCACTTTTAATTGACTATTTCTTGTGTTTTGAAGATTCTTCCCTACTATTTAACTCATTTCCCCATCCATGATAGAAAACCATTACTTGTGCAAAACAAATAATAATTTAATTGACTCTCAACCCTACGCTAATCATTAATTAATTACGTTATTAATCCCTATCACTTTGGGTCAATGGTTGTCTGGATAAGTTACTGGGTATTCCCTAATCAAACCAGATTTATCTCTTCTCGGTTCCATGTAGCTTGTGGCATTTAAGTAGGATAATATCATGATTGATTAATTAAAATTATATTTTTAAAAGAAAAAACATTTATCTTTTAAAAGATATAATTTTGTATTATTTTAAATCTTAATCTTTGATTTTTCGTCAATCAACGATTAAAATTTATTGAATTTTATTGCGAATTAATACTTAATTAATAAGTTTGACCCAGTAAATCATAACCATTGATTGACGAAAAACAACAATTAGGATCTAAAATGATACACAATTATATCTTTTAAAATGACAAATATTTTTTTCCTTTTTAAAATATAAAATGTATGACACCGGATTTAAACAAATATTACACATAAATAGATCATTTTATGTGTCATTTAATATGATGAGATTATGTGAGACAATCATAGTATTTTGTAAATAAATCAAGGGTTATTATATCTTTATTCTTTATTTTTTTTATTTTTTTATAATATTCTTTATTTTATTTTTTTCCTCATCTTTCATAACTTATGTTGGGACTGTTTACAACGTTGGGACTATAATCACGGGACCAATTGAATGCATAACAAATTGTAACGTGCAAAAGATAACAGTGGTTTATTGTGATTAAATAGCTGCTACCTAGAATCACGAGATTTCAAGTAAATTTATTAATTCAATTTATAGCTAGTCATTGTCATTATATCATTTGCGAAATATAACAATAATATCCAGTAATTGCATAGCTGTTACCTTAACGTTCCTATTAAGGGGTGTTTGGTAGAGATTTTTTTTAGAGTAAATATTTTTTTTTGTGCTTGGTAAATTTTACGATATTTGTTTTAGTCCCTAGCAAATAAAAAGGTATTTGTGGTTCCTAAGAAATTTAAAATGAACTTATTTAATTGAAATTGTGGTCCCTCACAAATTCAAAAAAGACCCACATTAGTCCCTTAAAATGACTAAAATGAGTCCATTTTGAATTTCTTAAGGACCACGAACAACCTTTTTATTTGCTAGAAACAGATGGATATCGTACAATTTGTTGAGGACCGAAAGAAATATTTACTCTTTCTATTGGAAAAAAATATTTTTAAGAAATATGGTGAGAATTTTTTTTATTCTGAATAAGTTACTAAAAGGTTAAAAAGTGTTTGATAGGCCAAATCTTTTTCGGAAATATTAGATTAATTTTACTTATGCTATGTGATAATTTTTCCATCGCATAATTTTTTTTTTCACCCATCAATGGAAATCTTCCATGACAATTCTACTTGGAAAAGCAAACGATGGGTACTTATATTTGTGTTTTGAATGCTACCAAATAAGAGTGTAAGAAATTTGGAGAGGAAAATCCACAATTTCATGATATTGTGTTGTGTAGATGATCTGATTAGTTAGAAAAAATTATAATCACTGTAGAAAGAACGTTTGAATGAAGTTTATTAATAAAATATATAAAATAAGATTTCATTTTTTTCTGCCGTTATATATAAAATATATAAGTTATTTGTGGTAAGTTCGATACGACGTCGTTTTGGGATGAAAATTATGATATTTTTATAATTTTAATTTATTTCAAGTTATTATAGTCTTTATAATTATTTTTTAATTTTTTAATTTTAAAATAATATTATTTTAAAAGTAAATACAGATAATTTATCTGCGTTGCAAGAAATATTTTTTTGATAAAAATAAATGTGAACAAAATTGTGCAATTTTTTTTTAAGTTGCATCTGTCAACGCTTTTTTTCTCCAACTATATGTGCCCATATTAAATAAAAAATTAATAAGTAATTTTGCCTTATTGTTACTATCAGTCGCGATAGATAGAGCGTGGGTACACCTACCAATCACCCCAGGAAATTATCACTTTATCTTTATGCACTTTTTTTCCGCACAACCTATCCTAACTAAGACCCCACCCAAGACCTACATAGTTTCATTATTTATTTATTTGTTTATTTTTTTACTTTTTCCGTTCACAAAAATTTAATGGACATTTTTACCCTGTCAGTTTTTGTACCTTTTTTTGGCATTAATTATCATTTATAATTAGTTAGATTTCTAAAATAAGAAAATAAGTATAACTTTATTATGTTATTCTAATATTAAGCTAATATATCTAGTTACTTTAAAAAATATCATACGAATAGACTTGTTTTAATTGTAAATGTTTTTAAGATAATTTTATTTTGAGATTTGGAAAGAAACAGACATATTGAATTTTTTTTTCTACATTATAATATGAATATTTTCAAAACATTTTATATTTTTATCTTCAAATTCTAAAACCTGGAAACAACATCATATTATGTTGCAGCCCATAATTTTATGAAAAAAAATATTTTTATTTATAATGTAGATTTTTTTTTCTATTACATTCACCTGAATGTGAATAGGTTCCATTATGAATAAAAAAAGAAAAAAATTAATAAAATCCGCTCAGTTTATGTGAATGTGATTTATGCAGCTTTGACAGAAATGTTAAATCCTAATTCATTAATGACATTAATAATTAAATCAACGGTGATAATTGTATAACTTCCTATCTTTATATATTTTTTTTCTCTTCTCTTATCACCATTAATTCACCCATTTATGATTATGATTGCCCCACATGACATGGTCATATTAATTAACACATGAGAGGATTCACTCCCTATTATATTAGAAAATATTATCTCATGTAAAGAGACATAATCAGATGAGTCCCACAAATTAAAAAAAAATACTAGCTCAAATTTCGATGGGTGTGTAAGAGAAAAGTTTTCTCTTACACATATAAGAATTAGTGTTTATCATGGTCTAAAAAATAATTTTATTTCTTATATATATAAAAATATAAAAGTGTTTTTTTTAGTTCTTTTTTTACATGGGCCCCACATACTTTTATATTTATATAAAAGGAATTACCTAAAAATATTAATCTCATATATATATATATATATGAGTTCGTTTTTTCTACGGTCAATGTAGATCACTTATCTACATTGCATCCAAAATGATGTTGTTTTAAACAGGAAATCAAGATACTTTATAATTATAATTTATTTTAGGGTTATAATAATCTTTTTCATTGTAATTTTTCAACCCAAACCAACATCATTTTGTGAGTGAATGGATAATTTATCTAGATTTACTGTAAAAACATTAAAGCTCGTATATATATATATATTTATATATATATATATTTATTTATTTATTTATTTTGCATTGAAGTCCGTGAAAATTATTTTAATCGTGAAAAGAACGAGTAGGTATAGAGACGAGAGTGATGAAACAAAAGGGCGCGAGTAGCAGCTGACCTGACTACCCCATGCAGCAGCCACAATGAAAGAAACCGAACCCTGCTACCTTTCAAACTACCATCACCTCCCCACGCTCCACAACTGCGCGTGACTTCAACCTCTCCCTTCCTAAACGCAAGCAAATCGTACATAGTTGAACTTTCTCTCTCTATCAACACACAACTACACAAACTAGCAACAACAACAACAACAACTACAACTACAACCACCGAGTTTGTGTTGTCTTGTGTTCGTGTTCTGTTGTTGGGGATTCATGACCTAAAACCCTTGTTTTCCTTCCCCCATTCTCTTCAAGGTCCGTGATTCATTCTCTCTCTCTTTCTTCTTTTTTCTTCTTTTTTTAATTCAGCGTTCGTCGATTCCTTTTTTCTTTGCAGATTCGTTCTTGTTTTGCCCTTTCTCCTACCTTCACGTTCGTCTCATGATTTTTATTTTTTTTGTTGTAAAAATTCGTGCTTTTATTTGTTTATAAATTTCCCTTATTGGAATTGTTTCCATTTAAAAAAAAAATTGATTTTTTTTTAATATAGTATCTCTTTGATGCGCGCAATGCTAATAGGAAGAGCAGTTAAATCGTGATGTGTGAGCCTTTTATTATGCTTCTACTTTTCTGTTTATGTTCAGCTTCTTATTTATATCTATATTGCCTTACCATTATTTCATTTGTTTTGGAATGTATTTAACAAAATAATTATAATAAGCGTTTTTTTTTTTTGTTGATTGCAATTGGGTCTTTTGCATGAGGCATTGTGGGTTTAAATCAAATTGATATTATTTTATTTTACTATTTAATTTGAGATATAATTTTGATTTAATTTTACAGTTGGTGTCATGTGCTTTTAGTTTTCCTAGCCTGCATTATGATTCTGTATGTTGCTTGTTTATTGTGTTCAATTCATGAGCCACATTCTGACATTAATGTATTTGAACCATGGTTGCTCCAGTGTTAAGTCTTTACTTTCTTATTTGTTGAAGGGCAGACAGAAGTGAACAATCCAAAATAAATTTTTGAAGTGTTGATAGTAATTTTTTGTTTTTGATCTTTTGGAAATTGGAATTTGTACTTCAAGCAAGCTATTAGTTATATGTTAAAGTTCTGGGAATCGAGTGGAGTGATGAATGATGATTCATGCATGACACTCCTTTGCTCTTCCCAATATCTTAAACACCCTTGTAATGCTATTTATTTCTGCTTGTCAGACAAGGGACATTCAGTTATAGTGTTCAGCACTTGCAAATGGATTTAGACGAGAAGTTCCTTGCTAAAGGTATGTTTTACTTTTAGGCTTTATTCATGGTTACAAGTTGCAACTATTTGTTTTACTTTTCTGCTGTGTATGTAATGCTGACTTCTGAGTGTTAGCTAGAGTAGTTTTATCTTGTATGTTATGTTAATCTATTGGAGGTATGATTTAAAACGCCAGCTGAAATTGGACTTTGGGAAAGATGCATACTGTATGATTTGTCTAATGATTTTGTTTTTTTATTAGTGTTTTACTTCTGACAAACATACTGCTACTTCTTTCAAATTATGTCTAATCATGTAGTTTCTTTTGCTTTCAGTCCTGTGCATAGTATAAATATTGAAAGTGACTTCTTTTGGAAGGCCGTTTGTCCTTATATCATTAATTCACTTTATGGCCGCATGATTTGTTGCCATCTAAATTTTATGTGAGTGCTTGATCAAGATTTGTTTCCTTTCTGTTGGCCGGCCCAAACGTGAAATTTGTTTGGCCCATATGATGCAACATATTAAAATTATGAGCTAAAATGGAGTAATATGATGACATGATATACCTTGTGAGTATATATGCTTGAGTCAAATCTGCTGTATGGATATTTTCTTAAAGCCAAGGATCAGTTATATCAGAATAAGCTTGTGAGGTAATTAATGCTGAACACATATGGTTAATATCTAGTATTCTTCTATTTTTCCCTCAGTGTGATATAGCTTTGGAAAGTAATTGTGGCTATGGGCTGCATAAAAGTAATATCTAATTACCTTTATTGTTTTTGCATTACTTGGAATTATATTATATTATACTAAATAAAAAAATATCGTTTGTCTTTTGTTATATGGAAGTGTTTTACTTTGTGAAACTTATGTGGTACCTTATTATAGAAAACAATAAATGACGAATTATGTGGCTTAAGATTAATTCAAACTTTTAGTAATAATTTAGGAAAGCCTATGAAGATTGTCCACAAAACCAATCTGAATTTTTTTTTGATAGGATGTTTTTTGGTCTTTCCTGTTATGTTTATACACAATAGGAAAATCCATTTATTTTTTTCCCTTTAAAAACTCGGGGATATAAATTTTGACCTTCCAGTGATGTTTCGTTTTTATCATATGAAATATTGATGCATTATGTGTGTTGTTGTTATGGATAGATTATATTTATTTATAATTGAAGGACATGTAATACTCCCAATTTAAGTATGCATTGTAAGCTTTAATGGTGTTATAAATGCTAAGAGGTGTGTGTGATTATTGAATTTAGTCCTTGTTTTGATAGCTCCTTTAAAAGTGATTCTGTTGTCCAAGTTGTCATGTTGACTACCAAATACAATTTATTTTGAGTTAAAAGTTTGGCTGAAAGTAATTTTAGTATTTTCACACCAATTTCTCAAAAATGCTTTTGGGTGAACCTTCCCAAATATACAACTCATTCTACAGAAGATACTTCTTCTAAAATGCGTTCCACTTAAGTAATTCTTTACCAATTACCCAAACATGTGCTTAGTGCTGTCAAAAAATTAGGATATGGTTTTAACAGAACTGCCAATGTCTGTTGGTGATTTTATACTACAATATTATCTATTTCTACTGTGCAGTTTTATGTTAATCCCAACTATACTATTATGTGAATTGAAAGAGAGGTACATCATTCCACAAGCTGTCGATATGGTTGCTTTGATTGAGTAGGCATGTGATAAGAACCTTGAGGTGCACCACCCCAAAAGCTAGCTCAAAGGGTGGCCCCACATCAGTTGCCCATACAATAAATGTGGGACTCCAAATCCCATACCTTGCAAATGGGTCATAACATTTCACCACGCTCTGCAGTCCCGGCGCCTAAGCAGGCTGGCTTTGCGCTAGTCTTTTACTAGCCCCGGGCGAACATTGCAATGTTGGCGTCGCCACCCGCGCCGCTCGATTGCAACTGAGAGACATAGTGGAAGGCTCTATAAGAACCTTGAGGTGCACCATCCCAAAAGCTAGCTCAAAGGGTGGGAGTGCCCAAGGCCTTATATATCCCATTAGTTGCCCATACAATCAATGTGGGACTCCAAGTTCCATACCTTGCAAATGGGTCCTAACAGCATGCCAGCAGATCTTGGACTCATAGAATTATGCTATTCAATTCAAATTTGTCACATAAACTAGGTGTTTAGATGTAAATGGTATAGTTCAGCCTCATCTTCCACTAACATGCCCAGGCTGTGCCTGCAGATCTTGTACATTATGGAATTAGCTTTTGTTGCTATTTAATTCAAATTGTCTTATAAACTAGGTGTTTAGTTGTATTTGGGTATAGTTCACCTTGTCTTCCACTAGAATGCCCATGCGGTATCAATTGTTCATGTATTAACCACATTAAATAACTTCCACATTTAATAGCTTTTTATAACACAAATTTCACTGTAAATCTTCCTTTGGATAGTTAATTTTCAAAATTTATATCATGATCGTAATATTTCATTTCATATTAATCCGAAACTGATTTTGTACTTTTTAAGCATTAGAAAATATTAACTTTTAATTACGTACTTATTAAGTACAAATTTCTCAAATATTTGCATGAAAGATCAAGATTCTAAGTATAGTTCAATGGTTGGATTGATGACAAATAAATTCCATAATAATATTTTTTGAATGGTGTACGTGTATAAAGGTTTACACTAGTGTTTTGAGATGTGCATAATAAATTAAAAATTCAGGCTTTAGCATGTGCTCCTATGCCTATATAAAGGGTTGTTCCAAACTCTGTTGGCTGTCATTTTCTTTTCTTTTTCTTTTTTCACGGTAGGGAGGATCTGGTGCTTATAAGGTATCAACTTTTCCTTTCTCAACTTTTCCAGTAATATTTCCTCTATTTGGTCTTTTAGGTACTTGAATTATTTGAGAAAGCCTGATGTGCGCATATTTTTGCTGCTTCATGTGCTTGGTGTGAATAATCAAACTTTTGGTGAGAAGAGCTGATCTCTATTGTTTGGAATGTATTTTGGAGATATTTCTGTAATTTTAATTGATTCAGGGTAGCTTGATTTTTATTACTCTGACATGGTAACTTATAATCTGATTGTTTATTCAAGATCGGTCCTAATCATCTGGAGGAACATGGTTCCAGGTCTTCTCCTTGATAGATGTTCACCTTGAACTAACATAACTGAACACATTTGATGTATTTGTTGATGTTTCCCTTAAATGATTCTTTCATTTCTTGATTTAGTATGGTATCAGCATCTGCTCACAAATTCAACATTGATGTTTGAAAATTTGGAAAGCTTTTAAGGTTGAATGCTCATATGAACTTGACATTGTTTCCGTCAATGCAAAGAGGAATGCTTTTAAAGACAATGATTGTGTTCTAATTTGGAGTTAACATTAGGTTGCTACATATCGATCACGTTGTTTAGATTTACAATCTAGAATCAAAACAGCGTAATGCAAAATTATATGGGTGAATTGTGCAAATGTTTTTGTATTTTCTTGGATTTTGCATATGAATCATTGGTTAATGGTTGTCTTCTCCAGAATTAACTCTTTATAGATTTTTGTTTTTATCTTTGTCACACAATTTTTGTGCTTCAAATTATGTACATTTAGTTCATGCAGATTGCAATCAATTTGTTCATTCTGTTAAATCTTTTCTCTTGTTATCAGTTTCCATCTGTGATACACTATTTTGAGTAATTTTTTTCCATTCTTCTGTTACACGGATTAGGAAGGGTTCTGGGATACTCTTGCTGTATTGGATAGCATTAGAGGGGAATGTCATTGTATTTTATGTGATGATAAACTTGTTCCATTTCCCCCTTCCTGGTCCTTCAGTCGATAACAAGCCAAGGTGCTAAAGATGTGCTTACAAATTCATTCGCCAGCTTCCTGCTTCTCTCCCATGTATTCACATGCTCACTCAGCATATCCATTGTTGATTATATGTTGTTCCTTGCCTAAATGAGGCTTTATGATGAAATTGTTTTGGGTGTACTAAACTCATGTAGACTCTTATCAAATCTATTCATTCATTACCTGTTTTTTATTGCTAGATGTCCCTAATGGGGTAGTGTGTCTATATTTCATCATTAGATGCATAGATCTAGTGCAGATGCTGTAGCAATTGCTGCTTGATGCATACATGATGTCTAGGTAGAAACAAACATAACCCGGTGTGCTAGGCTCCAGCTGTTGGATTTCCTTGCCCTAATCTTAGGTCTATGTTCGATGTTGTAATATGAGGCTTACAAATGTCCAGGAAAAGCGGGTATTGGTCTCCAAATATCGAACATTTAGCACAGGAGTTAGAGAGTAAGAATGAGACTATATGTGCCATGAGTACCTACATAAGTTCAGCTATGGTGTTAAATATAGACAATGGGGGTCATGAATTTATTTATGAAAGGAAATCAAATAGGCCTGATGGAGCTGGTCTATAGGGTTACCTTGGTCTGAATGAAGGGGTCAAATCTAGAAGGCTGAAGTTATGTCAAAGGTTGAACTATGCTGTGATTCATGTTTTATTCATATTTCATTGGTGGAACCTGAATTTAATTTATTATTTATTGCACTTATTTTTATTACTCCGGATTAGTTTGCTAGCTTTACTATTTCTCCTTCAGTTGATCGACATCTATCTGTGAGTTTAGATTTCATTGTTTACTCTAGTTAAATTTTCCTTCTGTTTCCACCAGACTTATTTTGGAGTTGGTTGTTATTTCTGTCCAGTTTCTGGGGTTCAAAGCCTTTCATCTAGTGTGCAAAGTACTCCAGAAAAAAATGGCCATTCAGATGATGCTTCAAGAAGTTCAGAACTCCTTCAGGAGTTCCTGAAATCTGGTCCAAAGAAGGAACTTCTACGAACATGCTTTGATAAGGACAAAAAGAACGTTTCTTCAAAAAGCAGGATGACGGAAATTAAGTCAGCTAGTAAGATAATCAAGAAACAGGACTCAAAAAAAGTTTCTGGTCTCAGCAATCAGCCTTCTAGGAAGCAACATCGTAAGGGCGAAAACCCTATACGATTCATACCAGCTGCTGAGCCTCCTTCTGATTTTGGACATTCAAACTCCTGGATCTGTAAAAATTCAGCTTGTAGAGCGGTTCTATCAAAAGATGACACATTTTGTAGAAGGTGCTCTTGCTGTATTTGCCACCTTTTTGATGATAACAAGGATCCTAGTCTTTGGTTGGTATGCACATCTGAATCTGCTGAAGGGGACTCCTGTGGATTGTCTTGCCACATCGAGTGTGCCCTTCAACATGAAAAAGTAGGAGTTGTTGATCATGGGCAACTGATGCAACTAGATGGTGGTTATTGTTGTGCATCCTGCGGTAAAGTTACTGGGATACTTGGGTGAGTAATTTTCTTCACCTGCTGCGTTATGGAAGTTGTATGTCCTCTCTTCTACCATTATTGCTATTATTTGTTGTTGATATACTGATAGTGAAGCTTTTGGTGAATCATTCCGATTTCTGTGTTTCAGCAGCAAAATATGTATCCACATGCATTATGTATATACTATTTAATAAAAGAATTAAAAAAAAATTTGCCCATGTTTCCTGCCTCTCTGTTCATCATTCACTGATTGAACATGCATTCAGCAATAGAGCATGCCTTAAACTACTACAGTTTTTGCTATCCTTGATGTGCCTTTTCCAAGAGAAATGAATTCCATTATGACCTTTTCCAGCTCCTTTGATTTGATTGTGAAACAGAAGATTGGGGTGTATAATGTATTTAAATCACTTGCAACTTGTATGTTGGTGACTAAATATTAAGCCTGATTTTGCTGATATGGATGGTTCATGTTTAATAATGGTAGATGTTGGAAGAAGCAGCTAAATATAGCAAAAGATGCTCGGCGTGTAGATGTACTATGTTACAGGATATATTTGAGCTTCAGGCTTCTGGATGGGACTTCGAGATTCAAAGAATTGCATCAAATGGTGCAAGAGGCAAAAGCTAAACTGGAAACGGAAGTTGGTCCAGTTAATGGGGTTTCTTCCAAGATGGCGCGTGGCATTGTTAGCAGACTCCCTATTGCTAGTGATGTACAGAAACTCTGCTCTCTTGCTGTTGAGAAAGCTGATGAGTGGTTGGCCACTGTTCCCAATGCGAATCCAGAATCTAGAGGTTTGAATTATTGCTTTTTTGATTTTTAATATAGAATTTCTTCTTGCTTACCAAGCAATTTCATTTATATGGTATATGATGAGCTGCTTTATCCCACACAGAGGGTTCACTTCCCGCTGCCTGCAAGTTTGTTTTTGAAGAGGTAACAGCTTCCTCAGTCAAAATCGTTTTAATTGAAATGTCAAATATATCTTCTGATGACATTAAGGGGTACAAGCTCTGGTATTACAAGAGTAGGGAGGAGTCACACACAAAAGATCCCGTTTGTGTGTTTCCCAAATCTCAGAGGAGGATTTTGATATCTGACCTACAGCCTTGCACAGAATATACTTTTCGGATTATATCTTTTACAGATAAGGGTGATTTGGGTCATTCTGAGTCCAAGTGTTTCACCAAGAGCATCGAGATATTGGAAAAAAATCCATCTTCGTCAGTTGACGGGTATAATAAAAAGGAGAACCTTCAAACTGGAGGTAATTCTTCTGGCTCCAAAATGGAGCCCAATCCCACAATGGCAGATGCTGGATTTAAGGTTCGAGACCTTGGAAAAATTTTGCATCTTGCTTGGGCTCAAGAACAAGGTTGCTTTGAGGGGTTTTGCTGTGCTGATATGAGAAACTGCTGTGGTCAAAGTGAAATGATCAAGCCTAGCAATCCAAAAGAGAAGTTGCCTTCAGTTTCACGAGGCCTTGATCTAAATGTTGTTTCAGTGCCTGATTTGAATGAAGAACTTACACCTCCTTTCGAGTCTTCCAGGGATGAAGATAATGGTTGCACTGTGCAGCAGGCTATTGAGGCAGATGATGATGCTGCTTCTCATGGTCTAGAGAAAAATTGTTTTGCAAGATCACATGGTAGTGGTGGTTCCCAAACCTGGAATCATGGACCAGCTGGAGAAGTGCCAGCCGTTGACTCTCGTGTCGATGCATGTAGGAAAAGGATGAGAGCAAGCACTAATGAAGAGACACATGATTGTGACAGCACCTTGATAAATGGATCTCCTTTGCATGTATCTGATGGTTTATTCTCCTTAGACGAGAACTTTGAGTATTGTGTGAAAGTAATTCGTTGGCTAGAATGTCAGGGTCATATCAAACAAGAGTTTAGGTTGAAATTGTTGACATGGTTTAGTTTGAGGTCCACAGAGCAAGAACGTCGGGTGGTTAATACATTCATTCAAACTCTGATTGATGATCCAAGTAGTTTGGCAGGGCAACTAGTTGACTCATTTTCTGATATTGTATCCAACAAGAGGCCAAGAAATGGGTTTTGTAATAAGGCTGTGGCATCAAATTAAGGGTCTTGAAATCCTATTATTCAAGATTGCTATTTGCTTCAAGACTATGATTTTAAAGTGACAAATCAACCCTGCTTGTTTCTGCCTTGTACAGGCATTTTTTATTACTCACCGTGATTCATTTTTATAGGACAAGTCTTGTCCTGCTAAAAGGATTTGCATTGATGATTGCTGAGACAGTAACACTCATTTTTCCTTCAATGGGGAGGGGAGGATCTTTGGACCTGAAGTTTCAGGATGTAGAAGGCATCTTGCTACTATTTTCTAAATTACTGCAATTATTTTTCTATTATTATGAATTTAATCACGGAAGATATTAGTGTTGAACTTTCTTCTCATTACTGTCATTTGACAAGCAACATGATATGATCGATGATTTTATTCATCCATTGTTATTCTTCTGTATCTTTGTTTTGTCACCCCACTTCACTGGTGAGCATGCAGATGATAAGGCTGCTTCTACTAAGGTTATCTTGATGTGGGGTTCATAATTTAACATGATCAAATTATGTAAGATGATTTATACCATTCATACACAAATCAATGGTGACAAAAAAAAATGTAGAAAAGAATAATCGTTGATTTGTCTATAGACTACTCATGCAAACGTGGGTAATCTTTAAGTTACCATGTATAGTAAACAAAAAGTTGGCCAAGCAAGTTAACTTGCTAGGACATTAGATAAACTCGGTAGAAGGAGTTGTATTGTGCTTGGTGGCTTTGTTAAGAGGGTGTTTGGTAGAGGAGATATTTTTTTAATCAGGTAAATGTAATAATGAGGAACAACCTGATAGGAAAGTGAGTTTGGTAAGAAAGTTATAAAAAAATTGTTTGATTGGGCAAAATTTTACCAAGGAAATTAGGTTAAATTTTGTGAGTTTTTGTTCGGTTAAAGGTAAAATAATGATGGAAAAATGGATAGAAATGAGGAAACTAACCCTTTTATACTTCAATTTTTGAATGTCAAGAACGTTTTTTAAAACATTTCCACTTGAGTGTGCGTCGACATTCAAACGTTGTTGAAGCTGTCCTTGAAGGCCACAGGTGCGTGTAACATCTGGTAAATCTAGATGATGGCCTTTTAAGGAAAAACCATAGAACCAAATGAATAAATCAATAGATGAAGAAGATAACTGCTAAACAGCAAAATAACAAATTGATTCTGCTAAGAGATGAAAAAGTTGTTGCTTCTTTGTCAAGTCTAATAGGGCATTCATTACGTGGCTTTTTCTAGCATTGAGTTGGAGAAGGAAACAAAGATTGTTGTAATAAACTTGTCGGTTAGATTGCATGGATGGTAAACTTCAAAAGTGTAACATCTCTCTTTTTACATGCAATTCAGAAAGGATGAGGAAAACATTTTGGTGGGTAAGTTTTTGTGTTTCTGCTACCAAATGTTGGCAACATGGAATGTCAATATCAGATGGATAAGGATCTAAAAATAAAACTTCAACCAAACACTACCTAAAGCAAATGAAATATACTACTGTATTAAGCACTACTTTTTGGTTGAGACTTGAGAACCGAAAAGGAAGATAAAAATAAAAAATGAAGAGAATAAAAATTATTAGTAATGTATGAGTGCATGTATAATAAGAGCCATTAAATGTTATGAAGTTATGCTATTACACGAGTACTAGTTTTATGCCATGCGTGAAATGAAGTTTATATAAAATTAAAATGAATTGATTTAACTTTTAGTTAGCAATCATAATTAGAAAAGTCAAACTGATAATAATATTGTATAGCCTTGCTAATTAAAAGCATTTAATACTTTTTATTAAATATTTCTAATTACGTAACAAATAAAGTATTAAATATCTTTTTAACTTTAAAGAAATTAAATACTCTTCTTTTTTATTTTCTTTTTATTTTTGGTAAACTTCTTTTTTATTTTAAATTCCTTATCTATTGCGATACTCTTTAACAAATAATAAATTTCATATTCTAAATGAGTTAAAATATGAAGTTTACTGAAAGGATTATAGTCTAAAATTAGAACTTGGGTTTTTTGTTTGGTTAAAAATAATCACAAATAATGAGAATAAATTGGCAAGGATTAATGGATGAACTTTTATGATAATTAACTACATGTAAGGTATTAAATTAATTTTAAAAAAGTCCTATAAATCAGAGTGCACATGGGGGATACATTTTTAATCCTCCTTAAATACATATTACACCTACTTAAATTATAACAGATGGATTCACATGACAATAAAAATAAAGAAGGTGTCTTCACCAAAAAAAATAAATAAAGAAGGTGCTAGAAAATTGGTGTGAATACAATTGGTGATTTAATGTGTAATTTAAGTGGATATAATATGTTCACCAAAAAAAAAAAGTATATATAATACGTATTATAAATGTACATGACTGTCCGCTATTTCGATTGAACTTGAAGTTAATTTAATTTTGTTTAAGTATTAAAAGTCATATTTACATTTTTTTAATTGAGTTTGGGTGATATTTTAAATTAATCTAACTTCACTTAATGTAATATAATATTTTAAAATCTATATTTTTTAAAAGCAAAGAATAATATATAAATTTACTGACATATCATATTTTTATAGGGGAGGATTATATTTAAAATTTTTTATTTACAAAATCTTACAAACTATATTATGTACTTTCGGAACTACACTAGGTTACACTATGTACTTTCGTGAGTACATAGTATAATTTGTAAAAATTTATAAAAAAAATTTGTAAACGAATTTTTCTCAATTTTTATAATTTTTAAATTTATATATTTTATTCAAAAGTTGGGTCAGCCTTATCTTGACTTAATAATTAGTTGGATTACGAGTGTATCCAAATTAAACAAAAAAAATTAATTTAATTAAAATATCAAATTGAGATTAGCTTGAGTTTCACCTCCTCAACCCAAATCATGAATACTCTTAAATTGAAATATACTGAAATTGAAGAGATTTTTTTATTCTAGTATAATTTTTTTTTTTTTCATTTCAGCAGTTGATTTTTGTCCATATAATAATAATAATTTATTAAATTATAATTAGTAGATGAAGAAAAATCAGATAAAATACAATTTTTTTTAATCTTACAACGGAATCAAATTAAAATATGGGTTATTTTTTCTGCAATTAACGCCGATAAGTTATCTGCAATAAGTCCAATATGACGTCGTTTTGGGACAGAAATCATAGTATTTTAGTAATTTTAATTTATTTCAGAATTATAATAGTCTTTATATTTATAATTTTTTAAGCTTTCAATACTAAAATAATATCATTTTAAAAATAAATGCAGATAACTTATACGCTGAAAAATATTCTTTCCTTATAATATATATAAAAAATTTATTTCATTGGATTGGCCGAGAAAACGGATTTTTTTAAAAAAGAAAAAGAAAATAGTACCAACTGAAACATGAGGCTCACAAACTGTCACTCACCTCACCCTTCTGCTTCTCTCTCTCTCTCTCTCTCTCTCTCTCACACACACACACACACACACACACACAATGCAAGTTCTTCATGCTCCATCTTCACCACACCTTTCTATCCAAAGCTCAAAAGCACCAAAGTTAAGATGGGGTATGCCACTGATTCTGTAAACCACCCTTTGATATGATATAATATGCTCATCACATATTTTTTTCTTTCTTTGTTGTTGCAGGTTTGCTTCCTTCTCTGAGTGTCAAGTCTTCACCTTTGTTTACCATTCATTTCTCTCTTCAGTCCCAAAGGGACCAAAGTTCATCATGGACCCCTCATAAAAGGACCATCTTGCCCTCTGGTCCTGCCAGAGCTGCTTCTGTTGAAGGTAATTTTATTCCTTTTCTGTGCATGGAAGATGCTTAATTCTATTCATGGACCTCAATTGTATGCAAAAGTTTTGGAATTTACTTGAAGTTTTGTAAACAAGGTTATGGGCATTATTAGTATCATCATTATATGGATGAACTGTTTTATAATGAAAATTTCAAGTTCCCTGTTTCTGGGTTTGTTGGTTATGTCTGTGTGAACTTAAATTCAGTGCTTGACCAACCTTAAGCTCACGCAAGCTTTGTTAACCTGTCATAAAATCTTAGCAGGATTGATAAATGAGCAGAACTTCATAATTCTATTTTGGGGTGAAATGAATATGTATTCACATGTTTGTTTGGCAATAAATTTTGGGTTCTTTCTGCCCATTTCTGTACAAATTAGGTGTTGTAAATAATTGTATTTATTTATTTATTTATTCATTCTAGAATCTTCTTTGGGCTTAGCCCATTAGCTCGTATAGTCTCTCTTTTTTTTTTTTTGATAACACGTATAGTCTCTTTAAATAGAGAGCTCTTATACAGTTGTAAAACACAATTCAATAATATATTTCACTACTTTTTCATGTTGATATCAGAGCCTCGGTGTAGAGGGTTCGATCCTCACCGCCCCCCACTTTCTTTCTAGTGGAATTTCTTTCTTCGCACAGGTAGGTGGGTCTGTGCATTGTCCACTCTTCAAGCCCAGTGGACTCTCGTGTGAGTGGGCGTGTTGAGATATATAAAATCATTAATGTAACCTCACCCAATAGCTTAAGCTTTTGTTGAATTGGTTCTTTACATTAGTTGTTGGAGAAAGCTAGCTATACGAGATCGAAGAATTAAAATAGGATGTTTGTCAGAGGATGAAGTTTGGGATTTAGGCCTACTTGAATAGGTGGAAACTATATAAATTATTCCTATTCTTTGATGCTAGACATAATTGTCCAATATATCAATGTGAATTTCTCCTATTGTGAATTATAATTTGTTTCCAAAATGGGTATTTACACTCAGCTAATCTTAAAAGTTGGGATCGGGTTGGAAGTTCAATGTATATGCCCCTTCCAGTGGCAGATTTGGCTGGTGAGGCAATTTATACATTCATAAAAGTTAATCAATAAATAAATAGAATTCAAATGTTTATGAAAAGCCAACCCAAATTGTCCTTTTAGGAATTCATGATATCTTGGTTGACACTTAACAAGAACTTTTCTTTTGTGTGTGTAAATAAGCTTTTCAATTTTCGTATCTATCATTTGGATAAATCTCAAAAACTTCTGGCTGTAATCCAGGATTCGCATCAAATGTTTTAGATTGAATTTCAAAAAATTTCTTTTTTGTGGATCACTCCATCGGTTTATATTCACATTCAGCAAGTGCATTAGAATTTTGAATGATATGAAGGTTGAGAAAAGTGAGATTGTATAACTAGTGAAGATTTATGATGTGTGTGTGGAAGTCATGTCTGTCAGATGATAGAATGGTAAGGAATATACAGGCAAGAAGTTGTCCACACCCTAATGACTCATGTATGAAGTAACATTCTTAAGTTGTTTAACCACCACACAACCAAGAAATGGTTTATTAAGGGAGCTCTAATTCAGTGGATTTTCATATTCAACGTTGTTTTAGTTTCATTTAGTCTTTTCTAATGTATGCAGTTGGCAATTCTTCACTATCCACTGGAACAGCTGAGGATGATGTGTTGAAAGCCTTGTCTCAGATTATTGATCCAGACTTTGGAACAGATATTGTTACATGTGGATTTGTGAAAGATCTGCAGATTGATAAAGCTCTAGGAGAGGTCTTAAAAGCACAGGCCTGAAACTTTCTGCAACACATGTAAATGATAATGTTCTTACCAAAAATTTTCCTTTGAATCTCAGGTATCGTTTCGGTTAGAGCTCACTACACCAGCATGTCCAATCAAGGACGTGGTAAATGACACAATTGCCGTTGTTTGAGCTATAGCTGATGTAGGTTAGAATGGAAGATATTTTGTTGTGTAAACTCATACATGACAGGGATAATAAATGAAATATTGCATCTATTTTCCATTATAAAGATAGGAAGGTTTCCTAATTGATTATGTTCCATTCTCCCATCCCTAAATGTGATGTTTGAGTCTGATGTGTTGTTGAGACTATAAATAAATGTGTATGCATGACAGTTTGAGCAGAAGGCAAACGAAGTGGTGGCAATGCTCCCCTGGGTCAAGAATGTAAAAGTCACAATGTCTGCACAGCCAGCAAGACCCATATTTGCAGAGCAACTTCCCGCAGGTCTACGGACAATTTCGAATATTGTGGCTGTGTCCAGTTGCAAGGTTGATCTTTTTGGGAGGTTTTTTCTTCATCATATGTTGGTCTTGTCTTATTAAGTTATTTACCATAACTTGGGGTGCTTTCTTGTCAATATTTTTTTCACAAATTCGTCCCTTACTCCTGTTGTTTAAAGACTTTGTGGTATCTATATGCGTTAAGTAGAACCTTTTTCTTATTATGTATGGTAGTCTGATATATAACACCTGAAAAATTTCCCTTGGGTTTTTAATGGAACACAAACTCCATGCTTAAAGAAAAAAATATCCATTTATTTTTTTGTTTTCTATTAAATGCATTTGAAGAATGCTTCTGAAAAAACAACTTACTGTTTCAACTATGGGTTGAAGTTTAAAAATTTTGCTGGTTGGAAGTATGAGCCAATCTATTTACCATGATTTGTATTTCATGTCGTGAATGCCTTTTATGTCAAAATTGCAGGGGGGCGTGGGGAAATCAACTGTAGCAGTAAACCTTGCTTACACTTTGGCCGATATGGGTGCTAGAGTTGGTATATTTGATGCAGATGTTTATGGTCCAAGCTTACCAACTATGGTCTCTCCTGAAAATCGACTGTTAGAAATGGTAATATATGATAACTCAAATGATTTTTAATATGTAGTTGAGTAAAGTGCTGCAAACTTAATTGTTTAGAGTCTTGCTGCAGAATGCAGAGAAGAGGACCATAATTCCCACTGAATACTTGGGAGTCAAGTTGGTCTCTTTTGGATTTGCTGGACAAGGACGTGCAATAATGCGTGGCCCCATGGTTTCTGGAGTCATTAACCAACTTCTGACTACTACTGAGTGGTATACATTTCTGAAAAGCATAAAAATTTACAAACCAGAAAATGGAGAAAAAAGTTATACGCTATATATGACATAACAAACCATGTCATTTTATAGGACTTTGTATTGTATTTATTGTGTTCTGCTGATATTTTTATATTATTCGAGTTATTGGTCCACCCCAGAGTATGCATTAAAGATTAAATAAACTATATTCATATAGTAATCCTTTTAGTCCTCTCCAGATATAAGATATAAGATCAAATACGTTCTGTTGGATTTGTGGTCTTAATTTGTTCTACACAATGTAGGGGTGAGCTGGATTACCTTGTCATTGACATGCCACCTGGAACTGGAGATATTCAACTCACTTTATGCCAGGTTCAGGACTGATGAACTGATACTGACACTAACTTGTTCTATTTCATACTTTCTTCTCACTCGTTATCCCTTTAGCTTGTTTCACATTGCATTTTGACTGCCACGATGGGGCTGGAATTAGGCCAGCTTTATCACCTTTGGGCTGAAATGATAACAGCCAATTTGGCCCAATCAACTTCAGGCCGAGAATCGGGTTAGCTTGATCACCTTGGAGCTGAAATCAGGGCTACCTGATTACTTTTGTACTGATATTCAGATGAAATCTGGTCCAACCCGAACACCTTTGGGTTGAAATCTGGCCAGCTCAATCACATTTGGCTTGTGAAGCTTGTATAGTGCATATACTTTAATTGTTTGCCAATGTTTTTTAGTCCCTGATTCTCATTCAATTTTGGTTGCATATTTCTTTAGATAGTCCCATTAACTGCTGCTGTAATTGTTACCACTCCTCAAAAGCTATCATTCATTGATGTTGCAAAAGGAGTTCGGATGTTTTCAAAACTTAAGGTGGCTCTTCTACACTTTGATGACATATTCCATTTTGTTATTTCTATGCCATGCTTGTAACTGTTTTGCATTATTTTTATCCTTCATCTGTTTGACATTTATAAAAAAACAAAAGTTTCCCAAGGTATTTGCTAGTCATAATATGAGTCATATATATTTGATAATATTCACATTTGATACTTATATTTTTTTGTCTGTTAACGCATAAGGTTCCTTGCGTTGCTGTTGTGGAGAACATGTGTCATTTTGATGCTGATGGAAAACGATATTACCCATTTGGCAGAGGTTCAGGTTCTCAGGCATGGATAGCATCTCTCATTGTTAACTTTTTATCTGCTTCATCATATTTAAGGAAAAACTATAGACATGTTCATGATACTTAATATAAAACAATTATGTATTGTCTGTGGCACATGTTTGATGGTTTGATGTTTGATCATATTTGCAGGTTGTTGAGCAGTTTGGAATACCTCATCTATTTGATCTGCCTATTAGACCAACTGTATGTCTCATGTTACTTTCATCCTTTATACTTCATATCTTTCTGCTCTGCTCTCGCATGTTAAATTGTGTTCTACATCTGTGGCTTGTATTTTCAGTTATTTCCTTGGATTGCATGGTAGTGTAACTTGAGTTAAAAAACCAAGAACAAAATATTTTTAGCCAGCTACTACCAGGGAAACATATCCTTATCCTTCACAGTTTATCCGATAAGACGAGTTGAAGACTAATACTCTACCATTTCCAACCCCCAATCATGCAAGGGTGATTAAAGGGGGATACAACACTTCACCTCAAGAATTGCTTTAAATTTGCCACGTGTTAGTATATAGGTGTCCTAGAGACAATCTGCTTTATCAGATGAACACCTTTTACTGTTTGGTATTTCATGATTAATTTATTTAAGCATACTTTATCTTTATCTTATTTATGTTCTCGCCTGTATTTTATGGTCAATATGCATTTAAAAATAAAGGCCCTAGGGATAGAACAGGTGTTCCCTCGAGGATCTATGATAGGGATCATGATTTTGAGGACTCGAGTGCACTACATGTCTATCGCTTGAAAGTAGTTCCTAGTATTGAATCACCAAGATAGGGCGTTAGTGATCTCGATAAAACTAGTACGACATCATCTACTACTTGTATGGATAAACAAGGTTGGGACCTCATGGAATGTAGGCATAGTGATGCCTTAGCTAATGTCGTAGCTGAATTTGTTAGAGAACAGATGACACTAAACTGATCCGCCAAGAAACTCCACAAGGATTCATTGTAGAAAGTATCATTGGATTTGTAATGTCTCTCATCATTTGGTAGTGCAGATCGTCCTAGACTTGAGGATGTCATCGAACACTCTGTCCTAAGGTTATACTTTGGCTGTACAATTCTATCCGCCTGAAAATGGGGAGAATAATGTACTCTTGGGTATAACTCGAATACATGGTATAGATGAACATGCCGATAAGAATCATAGTCCCCTACAAGGGATTAGTTGTTCACAAGACCGGTTGGACTTGGATAACTTCTATTAGACTCGGGAATCTATGCACAGTAAGGGATAATCATGAAGAGTCTTGGATCCGCCTTAGAGTTTATAAAAGAGGATTCCTAGTTTTTAGTCAACCAAGAGATATGTTACTCTATCCTTTCTCTCGACTAAATGTGAATGACGGTATGAGAAATGAGCTGGCATGGTATTCAAATTAGAAAGGTCAACTCAATTAGTTCTGGGGCCGCAGAGCATTGCTAGTGTCTTATGTGGTCATTAGATAAATTAGGTCCATTAAAGAAGTTTAATTGATCGAAGTTTATCTATGACAGTGACTAATTGGGCCTAATGGGTCACACACCAAGGTCGTTCTTGATTGCATGTTATAGCAAGTTTGGGCCAATAATTTGTTATTGGGCTTTGTCAAGCCTATAAGGAAATTGGGTTGGAGTGGGACTCCAAACCCGATTGCACCATGCGTCCCATTTGGGCTTTAGTGGTGAAATTAGTTTCTCTATTAATAGGCCCAAATGTGTTAGAAGGCCCGATAGGTTCTTGGGCTATAAGTCCTAGTGAGTCAAAGAGTTGATTGGATCAAAATGAGTTTTGGCACAAATCGTAATTTGAATTTGAAATTTTGAATTTTGAATTTGAATTCAAATTTAAATTACGAACTAGGAAAAGATTGGATTTGAGTTTGAAATTTAAATTCGAATTCGATTTCAAGAGGTTAAGTGGTTAGGGATAATTTTATCAAAGCTCTATACAATAGGGATTTGATAAGGCTTCTTGCAACAACACTATTTTTTGAATTACGAATTCAAATAAGGTTGTTGAAGCAACAACCACGAGGACAGGATGGTGCTATCGTCGAATTTAAAATGGAAGGTTCTAGATCCATTTTGAAATTCAAACAACATGGATAGGATCGATTAAACTTGAATTTCGAATTCAAGTTAATTTTTCATGATTGGAACACATATTCAAGATAGTTCAAGAAACCAATCTTGAATTTCGAATTTCATGAAGAGCCTGCATAGGCCATTTGAATTTTGAATTCAAATGAAGAGAATTGTTCTCCAATTTCATGATAAGATAAAATCCAAAGAGGAACAAATAATCCTCTTGGATTGGGCTGTTCAAGCATCATCCAAAATAGGATCATATCCTAATAAAGTGAGCTGAAAAGTGGCGCCCCTGCATGTTCCCTTCATGAAAATTGTGCCCCACATGATGAATCAAGAACCATAGTTTTGCTTAGGGGTGTTGACGGGCCGAGGCAAACCAAGCTTTGATCTTAAAAGGCTAAGCCTGTGTTTAAATGTGTCAACCTGACCAAGTCTATTATCTATTATGAATATAATTATCGGCATGTAGCCTGACTTATTTACAAAAAATAAAAGTCTGGTTTAGACTATTTCAAAAAAATAAGACAACAAAAATTTATCCAGACAGAATATACAATCAACAGAACTAGTAATTCCATAAATATTCATAAATTCAATGTATATCCAAACAATATAATATAGAACAAAATCATTCAAAAAGTCTGTTTAACCAATAAAATGGGGTGAAATGGATTGAGGAGAGAGAGAGGGCTATTACAAGTAGTATAAAAAATATATAATAAAAATAAAAATTAATATATTAGGCCAACCTGAGAGGCTCTAAGACCGAGCTTGTGAATTGGAGCCTGAGGCCTTTTTATTAAACGAGCTTTTATACAAGTCTAAGCCTGGTTCTAACAACAAATTTTAGAGAAGTAAGCTCAGGCCTTCACGAGCCGAGCCAAAGGCCCCTGATTCATTTACCACCTCTAGTTTTGCTTAATCTTCTTACACCTTTCATCTTCCTCCATTGTTGCGCCCCACCTAACCTCAAGACACCATTATAGTCTTGAGGAAATTAAACCCAAACACTTGATAGCCTCCAACTTGCCATCGCCTAGCAAGCTACCAAGGAGAAGGAGGGATCAAGGAGAAAGGTTCCGCTTGCAATCAAGAGACGATCGTGTGGATCAATGTTAGAGGATTCCATCCCCTTTGGCATCTTCAAGTGATCAAAGGTAATCCTAAAACCCCATGTGTGTTTTAACGGGTAGATGATCCAGTGGCGGAGCCACTTAAGGACAGGGTGGGGATTGACCCGGGCTAAAATTCGAAAATTATAACGTGGCTAAATAACCGTGGCTAAATTTCTGGATAAAATTTAGTGTCAAGCCCCACCTAAATTTTTGTTGGCCCTAGCTCAATGAATGGACTGGCTCCGCCACTGGGTAGATCCTAAGAGACTCATGAGGACGGTAAAGAGTTGTGGGTTCCGCATCGATTAACAATTTTTTTTTTGTTTTTCACCCTCATGAGCGAGTTGCTTGAATGTCAAGTAACTCAAATTTTAACTTTCAACCTGAACTAAGCATCATCGCTATTTGCCCACCTTAAAATGAAGGAAACTTGAAAGAGAATGCAGAACTTTTCACATGGTCTTTCCACATAAAGACCACATTTTGTCTCCACTTTCCTCCTTCATAAAAGTTCCTTTCTACTGAACTCCATATCTATTTTACATAAAGAGTAGTCTCAACTTCCCAAAAATTCCAAACTTTTGGCCCTTGTCTTTGCAATGTAACGGCACCTCTGTTCTGGTAATCTCATCATCTTTACCATGCCAAAGAAGCATTTTTATTTTATGCATCTTCCCAGAAATCAACACTGGAGTAGGAATAGGGGACACAAATATGTTAGCCAACTAAAGGGTAGTGTTAAATGAAGTATACCTTCAGTAGACAGATACAACAACTTGTGAGCCTTGTTTACAGAATTCTCAAAATTAAAATCACAATTTGATATAAACACTGGTGTCATACTTTCAAGTTAAAGCAACTTAAAAGTAAAAAAAGGACACATCTTGAGTTAAAAAGTACTCACCTTTCTCTCCTTTCTTTTTCCATTAACAAAATTGCAGTTTTATTTGAAGAAATTTTTTTATTTGGCATATCAAAACCATGATCCATCCTGATATAAGCTGTTTATAAATCATATAAAGAAGAGAGGAAATTTACAAAAATGGGAAATTCAAGTAGACTTGTTTGATACTCATCTGGCAGTTTTAATGTTTCAACTGTATTAAATAACCAAAAATAGGTGCGCCAGTGCTCGCTAACTTGTAAATTTTATAGGAGCTTGTTCTATGACACATTAAGTTTGCAGTACATGATGAGTTTGTTTAGTTATTTCATATTTTATGTTTACGCCAATCTCAAACTCTCAATGTGCTTGCTATGTTGTTAAATGCAAACTAGGATTTGAGAGGTCAAGTTTATTTGAATAATTGTCACAGCTATCTGCTTCTGGAGATAGTGGAATGCCTGAAGTGGTGACTGATCCTCAAGGTGAAGTTTCCAGGATATTCCAAAATCTAGGAGTATGTGTTGTGCAGCAGTGTGCCAAAATACGCCAACAAGGTATTCTATTGCTGCTTGAAGATAATTGAGAAGAAAATGCATCTTGTCTAATATATTAATAACAAGCTACTGAAGCTAGTTGCTCACTTGTATGTAACTGGTATTAAATTTTAATTTGTTGATCACTGATCAATCTCTGGTAGTTTAAATGCTTTTTCCCTTTTCTCTTGTTAATCAATGTTATCTTATGCATGACTCCCAATTTCGGTTAGTCCAACTCTCTTCTATTTGATCCTTTTTAGGGAAACAGTACCACTTTTCCTTTAAACATGCATTAATTTGAATACATTGAATTTTAGGCAACTTGACAAATACATAACATTATTGGCAATAATTTAAAAATATCATTGCAAAGTAAAAACCCAATAAACCAACCCTACCCAACCCTGTTCTATCTGGTTTGGGTTAATCAGTTTGTGAGTCTTAGTTTGGATGGGGTTGAGTTGGAGAATTTTAAAAATTGTTGGGTAAGTTTGGGTTGTGCTTCAACCCTAACCAACAAAGCCAATGTACAACCCTACTAGTATATCTAGGAAATTCCTGATATCTAATGCATAATGTATATGAATACAAAATTTCTGTTTCTCTTAAGCATTCATGCTTTTTCTTTGATTGAAATATATTTTACTTTCAATTCAGTTTCAACAGCTGTCACATATGATAAATCAATCAAGGCAATTAAAGTGAAGGTACCAGATTCAGATGAAGAAATTTTTCTGCATCCTGCAACAGTGAGAAGGAATGATCGCTCAGCTCAGAGTGTGGTATGTGGATATTTGAAAGATAAATTTTGCATTTTGCTTGTTAATAATTCAAAGTTGAATTTACAGTTTATTTAACATAGCATAACTTGTATTATGCTAACATCAATATACATGCGTATGATGGAATAACCCTATTTGTTTACTGCTGGAACTATTTATCATTTGTCACCAAAGCAAATATTGTGGCTGCAATAACTTGCAACTTTTCATGTATTGTTCAGTCAGAAAGTTAGAATAATGAAAACAAAATATGTCAAACAACTTGGCAGGAATAGGAAGTAAACTAGAGATTCCAGAAATGATTGGCCACAGCCAACGAGGGTGGACATAGTTGGTTAAGGATTAGGCTCATACCCCACAAGGGCATGAGTTTGAATTCTACTGGCTGATGTGAGGACCTCGTTGGTGGGAGATCTGTAATTTTTTCTAGAAATCCTCAAAGAGGTTGGGGGGTCTGTCCTGGCCCCGGTGGTATACTGGTGTCAAACCCCATCTAAACTTTTCAACTACCAAAAAAAATAAAAGAAAAGAAATGATGGGCCACAAGTTATGAAAAGTGGAGAAAGAAGTATAAAAATAAAATGAAAGGATAGATTTGAAGGTTATTGCATGACATAATAACAAACTCAGATGTTATAGATAAACTGTTCGTTGTCCATATTACAAAGCAAACTGTTGGGAGGAGTACATTGTTTTATGCTATTATATTATTTTGTCTCTTCAATGTGATGATGCTTTTGTCATTGGAATTCAGTAAGCTAAAGCCAAAAGTCTCTTTCGTGACAGAAAACTGCAATCTCTATACTCTAATTGAGTTCTGTTTTGAGTTGAAAAGTCAAGGGGAACTTTTTGGAAAATTATTTGGAATTCAAAGAGATTGGTTGATTAGACTGGATTGTTGTGACAGAAAGTCCATACCAGATACTTTGAATACCTGAGATATAAAAAATAAAATAAAAAATGTTGCTTTCTAAGAAGAAAAAAGTGCACCTTGACCAGTAATCTGTTTTTGATTTAATTTAATCCATGCATGCATGGGTCTTCTTCTGCATGTCATATTCAATTTAGGTATCCATTTCATCAGGAGTAATTTTATTTACAACAGGATGAATGGACCGGGGAGCAGAAATTGCAGTACACTGATGTTGCTGAAGATATTGAACCTGAAGATATTCAGCCAATGGGAAATTATGCAGTTTCAATAACATGGCCCGACGGGTTTAATCAGGTGATAACAAGTCAGATGTGATAATTCCCAAGAAAAAACAAAGCTTTAAATTGTAAATTTTTAACATATCAATTGTTCTTAGCTAGAACTAAAGTCTGGACTTGGCTTCATCTTAGGAGGGTAGCCTCTGTAAAGAACCAATTCAACTCAAAAGCTTAAGCTGTTGGCTGAGGCCACGTTAATGGTTTTATATATCTCAACACGCCTCCTCACACGAGAGCCCACTGGGCTACCTGTGCGAACAAAGAAATTCCACTTGAAATAAAGTGGGGGGCGGCGAAGATCGAACCCAGGACACGAGGCTCTGATACCATGTAAAGAACCAATTCAACTCAAAAGCTTAAGCTATTGGGTGAGGTCACATTAATGGTTTTATATATCTCAACAGCCTCAAACCAAACATTTGGTCAAAACTAAACTTTTGACTTGGCTTCATTTAAGGAGAGTAGCCTTCAAACCAAACATTTGTGTTTGACCAAACTATGCTCAAGCCCACCCATTTTTTTTTTTTGTTCTACCTTATGCTGACTTAATTCCACCAGAAAGTGGGATTCTACTAGAAAGTGAGGGGCTTGAAGGATGGACAGTATCCGTACAGAGGCTATAAAGCAACCAACTCAATCTAATAACTTGAGCTGTTAAGTAAAAGCTCATCAATAATTTTATATTATATCTCCTTAGCGTGCAATAGTCAAATTTAGACATTATTTTAATATAGGCCACCATTGTTAGTTGTATAGTGTTAAGTGTTAAGCTACCGTGTTCTATAGTTAATTTTGACTTCTTCCATATGATGCAGATTGCTCCTTATGATCAGCTGCAGACCATGGAACGGCTAGTTGATGTTCTTCAACCAACTGTGCAAGCTTGACGTATTGGCTGTTGAAAAAATCAGATGGGTTACATTGATGCACTTGTGGGAATGGCAAAGCCATGCATGTATGATAGCTTCATTAGTCCTTCAAATCTGCTTCAACCAATAGGCATATTGTTAGAGTTTGATACAGCATTCTGTAAGTAATAGGTTGATCTTGAGATTCACTGAACTCCTCAAGTTTTTTTTTTTTTTTTCCCTCTCTTTTGTTTCGTTGAGTATAGCATTTATTTTTCAACTTTGAATCTTCGTATAGTAATGTTAACAGAAAATCTGCATCATTTTCATCCTAAACTTTTTTACCAAAAATAAAAAATTGAATTAAACCTAAAAGTATTAACAGAATTTATACGAAAATATAAAAAAAGAAACTAATATTTTTCATGTTGTAGAAATAATTTAATTTATATAAAAGTGTATGAGGTCCATGTTTTTTTTTTTCTCTCTCTTCTTTTCATATGGTCTTATATAGATTCCACACACTCACATTTTTATGTATGTATAAGAGATTAAATTGTCTCTTACAACATAACAAACTTGTGAATTCTTTAACAGTAATTTTTAAGCGCTGTGTATTGACCAATGATGTACCATATAAATATCCTATATATACACTATGCATCAAACTTAAGATTGGTAGCGAGTCATAAACGTAAGTATTTGCTGAAGGAAGAAGTATATACCAAAATGTATCTTTTGTGATGATAAAAAGTTGTTACCATTTACCAAGAGAGTCTTATGACAGTAATTCAAATTATCGGAATAAGTTTAAGTCACTGTTGAATTATGATATTAACTTAAACCCCAATTAAAGAAGACATCTATTATAACAAAAAAACGTAATTAAATATGACAAAAGAATCATCACATAAATTACTTTTAGTAATTAATAATTTTTACCATTAAATAGTGAAAATCTCCTTAGTCGTCACTTTAAATTATTCTTAGTGATGTATTAAGTTTATGAGGAGGGATATTCTTACTACTAAAATCTTCTACTACCAACTCACTACCTATCTAATCACTGTTTGATCAACATTTTCTCTTTTTCAAAAACTTTTTAGCATTCTCTCTTTAATTAAATGGTGATTAGATAGGTAGGAAATTGGTAGTAGAAAATTTTGGTAGTAAGAATATCCTTCCTCTAAGTTTATAAGTTCATATTCGTAATTTTTTTTATAATGTAGTAACAATTGCATCTCGTTTTAAATAAAACTAAAATAAATACCAGTTGAAAATAAATAAACCTTCAAGAAATTCAAATATAACATTACACATTAATTAACTAAAATAAATAAAATAATCAACCATGTTCCAAATTCAAAATACCAATAAATCAATTCATTGCAATACTACAAACATTTCAGAATTCTTAATTCAAAAAGAACTATATCTATGTGCAAATAACAAATTTAACTTCTTGCTTATTCCTATTAGCTTTATTTTTCAAGTTCCTATCCTACCTAAATATAAATATTCAATATTTGAAGTATGAAAATATTAAAAAAATAAAATCAAATCTTAAGTCTCGTTAATGGATCCTCAACTTCTCCTTTTAAAGAAGAATTTTTCTTGACAGCAACTAAAAATAACTATGTCTTATTGATAAAACATAGTTGTAATATCAAAGTTATTTTTTCTCTTTCCGACACATCAGCAACATTTTGAGGAGAGAGAAAAAAAACTTTTAAAATTATAACTATACCTTATCGTAAGACATAATTATTTTTGGTTACTAAAAAAAATCTCTTTTCTAAACATATATATGAATATGACTCCCAATTCCCATTGATTGGTGCAAGTTGAAAGTGGTTGTTTTTCAGGAAAAGGATAAACGAAAACGTCATTTAAAGAGCATTAAAAATGCCTTGATGAGTCCCAATTGAAGTAGCGATATCAGGAACCGGCCAATTAATAAGAAGAGACCCAGTAGGAGATTTTTATGGGACAATGAAGGTTGGGTGTACTATTCAACTTTAGGGGCTACATTTACTCACGCAATTGCCCTCATACTTTTCCTCTTTATATATAGCTTTAAATTTCCTATCTAACTTTCTGCTCCTGCTGTCAATTCTCAACTTTTGTGATGACGAACTTTGTGACATTATATGGTTACTTTATTATGGCGTGATTACGACGTTCTTTCTTTATTGCATTCATTTGGCTCCATCTAATTATGCCTTTTCACTTTAATTTAGTATGATTTTTTTTTACAAATCTAGGTAATACATTTTCAGAATTTCGAAAAAAGCTATATGGAATTCTTGGCAAAAATGTATTTTAAATAAAAAATTATGAATTTATTAAAGTTTTACAAAAAAATTACGAATCTGCTGCACAATGTCAAGCACAAATTAGACATCACATATGACGTTCCATTTAAGCGTGACACCCACATGGGTGACGCCTAAATGGGGCATCACATGTGACGTCCAATTTGAGCATGACATATGCAGTCCTGATGCTCCCAGGGCGTGAATGGATCAAAAAACTCTATATAATCTCCTACCACTCTATGCACTCTTCACATGACGCTTAAATGGGGCGTCGCATGTGACGTCCAATTTGGGCGTGACACATGCAGTCCGTATGCTCCCTGGGCGTGAATGAATAAAAAAACTCTATATAATCTCCTACCACTATATGCACTCTTCACATCTTTTTTCTACCATCAATTCTTACATTTTACATAAACAATTGTTATCTTTAATTTAGTATTTTTATTTTATTTGTTATTCCATTTAAACATGAGTTCACATTCTGATTTTGTTCGTGTTGTGTTATATTACAATGGTAGGAAGGTAGAAGGTCGACGATGTGTCATATTTGAAGGTGAAAAAAGGCAGACACGTATCCAACGCAGCGCAACCATTAACGAACTGCATCAGAGAATTCGTCAGAAGTTAAGTCCTGAACAAGTGTGCTAGAACCGCAGATCCCCAGCTGAAACTGTCAATCTCATCAAATCCTCCCCCAAGCAACTAGACTAGCCGACAAACCTCCAGACCTGTCAGTAGGCAATCCCAGTATGCCGACCACATCCTGCAAGGTGATAGTCATCTCACTTGTGTCATGTGGAACGTATAGCACTAATCAATGGGGCATCAATCTGAAATAAAGTATACAATTATCACATGTTAAGTCAATATATTGAATAATCACATAAATTCTAACGTCAGAAATTGCATACCTGGATATGTCGCATGCGTGCAATATGTATAAATCCAGCATGTGTGAGGTAGTCGACGACAACCTCTGGAATAGTGCCGGCAGGTGGCCCCCCTATGGTTTGCCACACCTGGTCTTCAACTTACGCACATGTTCCGTATTTCACACTAGCTATGAAATATGGGAACTCTGCGTCCTCTTCCGAAGGACCTCCCATCTATACAGCCCAGGTATGATGTACATAGTAGGATCAGTAGGCTCTGGATCTTGATCGGATGCAGAACCTGCAGATGATGATGAATCACCCATGATAAAAAACTATATAATATAAAACAACATTGAAATTAATCACATGTAACAGCAAATTTTATGTACAAATTAATTAGGCAATGCCCTAATTTATTATCAAAATTATTAAGCATAAACCCTACGTATTTACTACAATCGTAATTAATGACATAATATTAATACGTAGTACACTAATTTATTTGTAATGAAATAATAATAAAACCTCGGACACTAATTAAATCGTAATGACATAATACTAAACCCTAAGTCACTAATAATTTCATAATTATATAATAATAATAACACCTAAGTCACTAAAAAGTTCTTAATACACTACAACATTCATAACATGGTACAAAAATTACGAAGTCACTATCACTATTTTCTAAATCACTAATATACGCTAAACCCCAATGCATAATTAAATAATAATAATAATAGCTACGTAACAAAAAAATTACTAACTCATTACAACGTTCATAGCATGGTACAAAATTTCTAAGTCACTATCATTATTGTCTAAGTCAATAATATATGATAAATCCTAACATATTTGTAACGTAGCACTGTAATTTAAACGTATGCATAGCAGGTATTAGGAACTTACCTAAGTTAGCAGAGCTTCGCTACAGAAAATTTCATGTACGGTTGAGAGCACAACTTGGTTAGAGAGAGGTTAGAGTGAGAGTGAAATTGCAAAAATGAGGATTTATATAGGGTCAGTGAGTGACGCCCCTTTTAGGCGTCACTTGTCACGCCTGGTTCAGGCGTGACCCACCAGGACGTGACGTCCTCATTGGACGTGATATGTGACACCCAAGAAGGACGTGACATTGTGTAAGAAATATGTAATTTTTTGCAAAACTGTAATAAATGCATAATTTTTTATTTAAAATATAATATATTAATTTTTTTTGCCTGGAATTCTTCTTGGGACCAAGAACTATTCATTCAAGTGATAAATAATTCGTTCACTTAATCAAAACTTTCCGGTTCGAATCAAGAAAATAATAACTATGACAATACTCCAATCGAATTGAATCGGAGTGAATAAGAATAATAATAATAAAAATCTTCCTCAACTATACTAATGATCAGTGAATTTGCATTTCTGTTATCCAAAAAAAAAAAAAAGTGAATTTGCATTTCTGTATACTCTCTTATACGTTGTTATGAGGTTAATAAGTTTAACTGTGATGTAACTTGCGCGCGTGTTTTGTGCATTTGTCTTTTTGCTTCTCTCTAATTTTTATATATATTTATCGGAAAACAACTTCTGCTATGGTAGAAGAAGTGTTTCCTCATATCGTGAGACATCAATTCTGTATCCTTGTTTTTTTTTATAGACATCAATTTTATGGGTCAATAGGAAAAAAAAAACACTTTTCTTGTAACGGAGAAGTTTAAACTCCAATATTTATTTGCAAGTTTCTACAATTTTGTCCCTTTTATTTATGAAAAAAGTATCTATCATTTTAAAAGATATAAAGTTATATTATTTTAAGAGAGAAAAAGATAGATAAAGAGAAGAAAAAAAATTGGTAAAAAAAAATGAATTCCACCTCTTTATAAAAATAAAATGACATAAATTATGTTATTTAAAAGGATAAATAATTTTTTCTTTATTTATTTTTGGTATCGCTTTCTGTTATTCCATTTCCTTTGGGTGATGGGATGTGCAACTAACCAAGATGTATCTAGATATTTTGAAACTACAATGATTTGACACAAGGAAAATGATTTTTTAGCGTTATTATTTTATAATACATTTGTCTTATTATATTATATAAAAAGAATTTATATTTTTCCATCAACATGCATGAACT